GCTTTTAGAAAACAGTTATTTCAGAATTACAAGCTATTTTCTGAAGAGCAAAGCTATCTATTATATTTTTAAGCAAGTAAAAAAATAATTCTTTATAAAATAAAGTCAGTGTCTAAGAATACTTTTATTACTTGTCTACCAGTCTTGCAATGTTATTATCTTGCTGATTCAATTTATGGACTTCAGTGTTGAAACCTATAAGAATGTTCACCTTGTTATATTACAAGCAATGTTTATACTGCTTTCATCTGAAATTCTTACCACTTGATACTGTACAACTCAAATACCAAATATACCAAGAAGACTTCTTAGTCACAGATTAGTAATGTTTCTACCACAAAGGCTCCCCTCCTTTTAAAATTCCCTGCTCCTCTGGTGGTATTCAAATACTAAAATACTTTATCTATTAAGATAAATAAATGCCCAATCCTTATTAACCAACAACATAATAAAAAAACAATAATTTATATCAGGTTTCCTGAATATTGACTGAATATAGCCTTTGATTTGTAACAAGCAGAATCCCAGAGGGCTAGGATCATTTTGCTCATTTTATAAGCAAGCACATGGAGGCCTAGGGAGTTTAAATAGTAAACTTCTTCTAAAGAAAAAAAAAACAACATAAGATTCAAAAATTCTAATTGTAGATAATGACAGGTACTTTCATTCAGTTTTGTTTGGCTTTTTGAGTGTGATTAGAAATAGAAACAATAAAATGTAATTTAGAGGATATTTAGAGGAACATGTCACTTAAAAACTGATCATTTTTAGATATAAATAATTTGGTAGATGTAAGTGGATGAAGGTAAGTTAATATTATCCCTATATTATTTATTATCCCTATATTATTTATAGTTTTTCATGTGTCCTAGAGTCTGAAGATTACAGTCTACAAGACAATCTCCCTTAGAGACGGCAGCTAAATAAGAAGCAAAATGATACTGTTTACATCAAGTGCCAAACTCTATTTCTGTCAATCATGTCTTCATATTATCCATTACTTCCTGACCTGGCAAAAAGTCAGTCTGTAGACTATCAATTTATACCTACTCTGATGACATCAAGAGATATGCCCCAATAGCCCTGCCAATACACACAAAAAATGTAATACATCACAGCATCCAAATTTTTAATAGCTAGCCTAAAATTATTTTTAAGAAGTGGCCTAGTCTAAGACACCATTTTTCAAATTGAGTGTTACAACCCGTAATAGGGTCATAAAACCAAATTAGTGAATCATAACCAAATGTAAAAAAATAAAACAGAAAAGTATGAAAAACAATATATTGCAAGTAGTAAGGGTAAGTATCTTTTCATGAAAAATATTTAAATTATTTAAATATATTGCATACTCACAAATATAAATGCAAATAAACATACATAAAACACATTTGAATATACGTACTGAATCATAATATGGATGTATTTTATTGTACCTCAAAATATAAAAATTATATAGTGCTAAAAATAAACATTCTTTGTAAACCAAGAGGCATTATCTATAATTTGCAATATAAATCATCCATTTAGAAGTAGGATCAAAGATCCTTCCCAAAAAACAGCACAGTAAAAGAAAAATGCTAATCCAGGAGTGCTCAACCAGTGAGCCACATTTTTTGTATTTGGAGACAGGGTCTCACTGAGTTGTTTGGGGCCCAGCTAAGTTATGGAGGCTGGCTTTGAACTTGTGATCTTCCTGCCTTGGCCTCCCCAGGCTCTGGGATTACAGGCCCTTGTGTCACCAAGCCTCCAACAGCCTTTTCTTAATTTAAACACTCTTTCCAATGCAAATACCTATTGTTTTAGTCATTTCTTCTTCTGCCTATCATTCCTGCCCTCATTCTCTAAGGCTGGTTCCTCCTTATCCTTTTACCTCCTAATTGTGGAAATTATTTGTCCTTGGAACATTGCAATTCCTTCTGCATATTTTTCCTTGTAGAAAACCTATCTATTTGCAAATAATATTTCTATTTTGTCTTCTATTTTGCTTCCCTAGGTATTTGGAATGTAGCAAAAAAGACATGCATACACACCACAGCTTTTCATGGCTCTCTTTGCACTAGTTGTTCCCTTTGACTAGGAAGAAGCCTAGCCGTAAATGAAAAATAATTATGAGGATACAGAGTGAAAAAATTTGCTTGTTTATTTTTGTTTAAAGGGAGTGACTTGCTAAGAAGACCAAATCAGTAAAAAGAGGAGTTTAAATAGATTTATATTGAATCATTCCCAGAGGAAATCATTACTAGAGCAAAGTCTTAGAGTTGTAATTCAGTCAGTAGATAAAAAGATCAGCTATAAAATAAAGAGGGACAGCTATTCTACAAAGATTAGAGAAAATTACATAAGGATGAGAATGTTTATAGGTACTTGGGGAAAAGGTGGAATACATATTCATAATATTATCCATCAATAGAAATTGATGTCCTTCATTTATATTTGCAATGTGGGGGGTATAATGAGCATGATGAAGAAGATAGTGGGGTTAAAGAATTAAGGAGACCATTTATGTACAATGTGTCAAAATGCATTCTATAGTCATGTATAACTAATTAGAACAATTTTTTAAAAAAATTAAAAAAAAAAAAAACAACAACTAAGGAGAGAACCTGAGGTATAGCTCAGTGGTACAGTGCTTACCTGCCATGTTCAAGGCCCCGGAATCAACCTTAGCACCACCAAAAATAATGATGATAATAATAACAATGGTGACAATTCAGGAGAAAGGGTTAAGGTTTATAAAAACACATTGAAAAGAATACTAAGGAGGATTCACAGGCAGTTTTGAGGACATAGTTAAGGGTGCAACAATGAATTTATAGTGGTTCCAATTTGTTCTCCTGTTTTCCTAAGCAGTTCTAGAAGTAGACATGAAAAAGGCAAAGGTTATAATGGTCTAGTTTTGCTAGGCATATGCAATATAAAGCAATGAGGGTAAAAGGATTAAAAACACAAGGGACAAAATGGCTAAAACGATTGATGAGAAGGAATTAATTCTGGGAGGGGCATAACTGACTAGAAAAAATTGAAGGAGTTAAAGAAGTTGAGTTCTGTGAGACTGAAAAACAGATGCTAAAGGAACAGGAGGATTTAATATTTTAAAGCAGAGCAATTCTGGGCAATGGGTGTGGCCATGGGAGTATATAGCCAAAGTAGAGTGGAACTAAATATGGATTAGAAGTCAAGAGTCTGAAGTTTTCAACGAGCAACCAAAAAAATCAACAAATGTAAATGTAGAACAGCTCAGAGTAGAAAGCTCTATAAAATAATGAATGCTTAGAAGATCCATTTTTGTACGAATATGCAGAAATACTGATTTAGAACAACAATGGTAGCTAAAAGAATGCTGGACTTAGCTTCTTGTGTTTTGACAGGTTCTTGTTACTGCCATTTCATAACCTCTCTCCATGTCCCCTCTCCCACTATGTCATAAAAGAATAATCAACCTGCTTTGAAAGGACTGCCAAGAAAGGACACCTGAGTAAGATGCTTCCAGAAGTTGTAGACAAGCTAGGAAAAAAAAAATCATCCTCTGAAAAAGAAACTAGTAAAGGCATGAAACTATTCATCCTTTGACTAATCCATACTAGTATTTGATTTATGATTATATGTGTTAAGATTATGGTATTTCCAAAGTTTTTGCCAAGAGATGAGGGTATATTCTCAATAATCATGGCTGATATAAAATTTAAATCTCTTCTAATTTAATAATATTTAAATAGTATTGATATAATTTGCATATTAAATACCAAAAAAAGCAACTTTATAGCTTGATATCATAAAATATAGAGCAAAATTTATTTATCCATTGCTATGATTTGAATATAGCAAAGCAGGCTGAAGATTAATGTCCCCTCCAAAACTCATGTTGAAGATTCTTCCCTACTGTGTGGGGGGAGAACTTAATCCAACTATGGTATTTAAGAGGTGGGTCCTTCATTAAGTGGTTAGGAATAGATGAAGTCTTCAGTAGAGCCCTTGTGATTGAATACTAGTGGCTTTAAAAGAAGGAGAAAGACTAGAAGATACATACATGTGCATGTTCTCCATTTCTTGCCATGGATTATTCTGCATTGCTGTGAAACAATGCCAGCAAAGCCATCAACAGTCGTGGCTCCTTAACCTTGAATCTCTAGAATCATTAGCTAAAATAAACTCTTTTCTTGAAAAATTAGTCATGGTATCACATTCTTAGCAATAGAAAACAGACTAAGAATTCATTAATGCTTAAAGCATGGAGATATTATACCCAATGGGTATTCTAGTTATTAGGGTATAAACTCAGCAATATAGGGATTACATGTAAGTTTTTTCCCCAGAGTCTGGATGAAATGGCCCTATGAATCTAACTCACTTTTTTTTCTGATTCTGTGCTAATGAAACCATCTGATCATCACCTAGGTTTCACAGGAATTATGATGTTTAAGGCAATACTCTCTAGAGTTTAAAAAATTTTTTATCATAAAAATATTGTTTTACTAATCCATATTATGTACCTTGCATTATATATACAAGTGAAATTTTAAAGGGTCAGTCATATAAGTACGTAGAAGTTCTAATATTTTCTTCCAACATTCCAATGGCATCTTGTAGACAGCACTCTGGAGACCAGTGCTCTAGAGAGATAGGGATGAGTGTTCTAGGCAATGGAAAAGGCAAAAAGTTGACATAAGTGATAATCTAGAACTGTGCTAACTCAGTAATATGATAACTGTGCTAACTGTGTAATATGATAAAATCATTCAGCACTGTGTAAAACGATAAGATGATTTTCAAAGGTCCTGAAATCTATACAACTACAAGAGAATCTAGGCAATGAACAAATAAAACTTTAACACTGAGGAACCAGATGTGTCCTGTTCCAGCTAAACAAAATATTCCTTTATTGCAATATAACAAAGAAAGCAAGTCTCAACCAAACAATATAGATATGGAAGTTTAAAAAGTGCTTATAGAACCTCTCCCCTCCCTAGCAACAGAAATTATCTTTTGTAACTACTCACCTGAATAAAATGTGTTGATTTTGGCAAGTTCTTTTTCACAGGTTTGGAAAAATTTTTCTTCAAACTTGGCAAAATACCTCTTTACTGTGTCCTCATCTGTAACTGAAAGGCAAGAAAAACTACTGAATATAATGTCAGAAGGCCAACTTGGAAAACTAGAAAAATAAAAATTTACATTCTAACTTTCTTAGTCTTTAAAATGGCAATTATATATGTATTATCAGAGAAAATGAATTGTAAATTATATTAAGAAGAGAATAATCAAAGGTCTTTTCACAGGAATACAACCCTTAAGTTGAATGAGACTAAATCTCTACTACAATAAAATTTTTAATGTTGAAGAAAAGTATTCTAAGATGTCAGAAGAGGAAGAAACGTCTATAGAAAGAGATAATCTGAGCTGAGTAGGATTCATTCAACAAGAAAGTAAATTAATTATTTCAGGGAAGAAAAAATATAACAGCAAAGCATGAAGACATAAATGCATGGTATGTTTCTGGAAAAAATTGATTTTGTTCTATGTTAAATTGCTACCTAGTCTTTGTACCTCAGCTTCATGAAATACAGAAAAAAAGTGTAGACTACTCAGTGTAAATTAGATGCTCCAAAGTATCAGGGGCTTGATAGGTAACATAAAGGAGTTGAGCAAGTAGATGTGGCAAGTGTAGTGTTAAATGGTAACTGACACCTTCAGGATAAGGAGTGGTATGGAGTCTGGCAAACTAGAAAGTACAAGTCTGTCTAATTGTTGCCATGTGGTGATATGGGGCCCACTTTGTCAGATTTTCCAATTTTTTAGGAGACACCATTAGTTCAGATATTTTTAAAACACTGTGTGGGTCAATCAATATGTTTCTGCAGGACTGATCCACTTTGTGTTGTCTTACTGAATACTGTTATGTTCTAGATCTTGAATGCCATCCCTTCACCCCCTGCCAAATAATTCTTGTGTTGATGGCTTGGTCCCTAGCTGATGGCATTATTGGGAAGTAATGGAAGCTTTAGGAGGTAGTGCCTACTTGGAGGAAGTAGACTATTGAGAGGGTGGTCCTTAAAGGGTATATTGGGTCCCCAGCCACTTTTTTTTTTCCTCTCTGCTTCCTGGCCACTATGAGGTATACAACTTTGCTCTACCATGCACTCCCCACTATGATGTTTTGCCTTGCCACTGACCCACAAACAATGGAGCTAAGTGACCATGGACTGAAACCTCAAAAACTGTAAGCCCAAATAAATCTTTCTTCCTTTAAATTGATTTTCTCGGGTATTATGGCATATTAATGGAAACCTGACTAAAACAAATATCAATCTACTAAATCCCAAAGTACAAAATACATGTAGCTTCAGGATTCCTAAGAACAAAAGGGTATTTTTCTTCCCCCAGTGAGATTCAAATAGATTCTCCAGATGGATATCATAATATATAACTACCTTATTTCTGGATCTCTTGGAGTACTCTAAGCTTGAAATATGTAGAAAACAGGTTCCTTTCTCTTCCCCTCATCCCCCAAATCTTAATGTAATCCCAGAACTCTTAAATAATGACCTGAGAACAAGGGAAATGGTATTTCCCTAAATAACATGCAATATACACATACATACAAATTCATAGTACTACAGATATTTTAAAGAAAAACAAAAGCTTTAAATAAAATTCTAAAAAACACATCAAATATATTTGTTAAAAAATTAACATTGTGTAAAATTTTTATATATACATGTCAACTTTTCTAGACATGGAGAAGATATGCTTTAGATCTGAGCACATAAAGCAGGATATTCTACTGATTTTACAGGGAAAAGGGGGGGGAATGGCCACTTTTATGTTTTTCATGAAACTTAACAATTTGGATATAATAATGAAGTCAATTAACTGCTGAAAGCCACTGAGAATTACTTTCTTAAAGCATAAAACAGGCCCCAGCTTTCTAAAACAGCTGACCTTGAGTTAAGGAAGCTCCAAGGTAACAGATGTGGCACATATTATAACAGCATCTAGCTATAGCCGATTTAAAACAAGAAGAGTTAGGATTATTTTACTTAATTACCTCCTTTTTCATTTTAATTTTGTTTCCTATTGTTAAGACAATTCAAAATCAAAAACATGGGCTTGTTCAAAATAATATATTTTGCTTTCCTATTAACAGGCAACTTTCATTAATATAAAGTGACTAAATTAAGTTATTCAGCAAAATGAGTTAAATATAGTTTCTGTTCTTGAAATAATTTTAATATAAGTCATTTATATAGAGGTTGCATATTCAGCAATATATACTATATAAAATGCTACTAAGAACTTAGAAATCAAACATGTAAAACAAAACATGTATTAAAGTGGGACCATTCTACCCATGAATCAGTTTCCTACGATTTCATTTCCTCACTTTAGAGATTTTTTTTAATCTAAAATGCCAACAGTCTGTTATATAGTTTCCTAGTTCATATACAACTTAATAGCCATAAATTAGAAGATGGTATTATAATGTTAAAATAACCCTAAGAAATAATAGCTGTGAGAAAAGAGGAAGAAAATCACAAATAAAAACAGCAAGAATTGTATAACTAATTACAACAAATTTAAAAGACGAAAAACAGTAAGGATAGCTGTGCAAAATAAATGAATAATAGTGCTCTTTATCCTCTCAGATTTCAAAAGACCTAGTCAACTACTAAAATCGAAAGTATACTATTGGTAAAGGAATTAGCAAAATACAACAGAAAAAAATAAAGTCCAGAAATAGATCTGCATACATATGGAAATTTAGATTAAGATAAAGGGGCTTCAAGTCAGTGAGAAAGGAATGGATTTTAAACAGAGGTTATTTTTAACACTACACAAAATACAAAAACCATGAAAGGAATGACTCATACTTTCACAAAATAAAAAGTCTTCATTCCACAACATACTATAAGCAAAATTAAAAGAGACTGGGAAAACATACATCTGCAACATTTAAAATAAAGGATTCATATACAAAATATATTTTAAAAATTCTTACAAATCAGTATTAAAAAGACATTCAAGTTCATAAGAAAAATGGGCAAATTACAGCAATTCATAGAAAGAGAAATAAAAGGCCAACAATGAAAGGATGCTCAACATTCAAATGTCATACAGATGCAACTTTTAAAAAATGAAATACAATTTTTCAACCTCAGACTAGAAACACTTCTAAACAGTGTTATCATTTTGGCAAAGATGAGGGTAAATGAACATTCTCACTCCCTGTCAACAGATATACAAATTTGTAAAGTCCTTTATGAAGGCAATTTGGCAATAGCTATCAAAATTTTCAGTATATTTAATCCCAGATGTAGGAAACATATTCTAAAGGAATTTTTGCACAAACAAATGCAAGGATGTTCATAGGCCATTATTTTTTTTCAAGTGATAAAACAAACTGATGTCCAGTAAAAGGGGGGTTGGTTAAACAAATCATGTTAATATTACATAACACAATAGTCATTACACCATAGTAATCATTTAAATTAGTGACATACATACATCCTGACATGTATGAAAGAATCTCCACAACACACTGTGGTGGAAAAAAATTTAAGTAACAGAATATATATGTAGCATGATTCCATTTATAAAAAAAATATGGTTATAAATATTCATCTATACATTCATAGAAAGAAGATTGGAAAGAGGCATAACAAAATGCTAATTGAGGTTACTTCCCTTGACAGAGAAGTATAAAAGGGATTCTCAAGTTTTGCTATTTACAATTATTGTATTGCTTATAATTAAGAAGTATTCATGAATACAGATAAATCACTTGTATAAATAAATGGTATTATATGTTAGAAGAAAAAAAACACATGTCACATCCAACCTCTACATTATACATAGTAAAAGCTAACCAGCATAGCTAGTTAAAATGACTGTATCAGAATCTAGAGGTATTTAGAATGATTATACCTTCCATTCCTGTTATGGGAAGTTGGTAGAAGGCTGACTTACAGAATATAAACTTCTGTTATACAATGCTTTCTAAAACATACCTACTGAACAATGTAGGAAAACATTAACTCTGAATTGGAGAATCAAAGAATTTCAGAGTTCAAAAACTAGTATAATGTCCTTATTTTGTAGGTGAAAAAAACTGAGGTGTAGATAGCCTACTATGAGAGAGGATTCCTCCCTCCAACAATAACAATATACATTTTATTTTCTTATAATAAAATAAAAAAACTATCTACATATCAACTAAATGAAAGTGACCACTGAGTGTTATATGGGTCTTATGGCTTGAATATGTGCCTCCTCCAAATTCATATGTTGAAATCCTGACGCTCACTGTGACTGTATTTAAAGATAGGGCCTTAAGAAAAAAACAAAAAAACATGGTATGGATATCTTGCTATTAAGCAAAGAAAAACAAAATTTTAAATAATTTACTGCTTAGAAAAAAAAAGACAGGGTCTTTAAAGAAGTAATTAAGATTAAATAGGACCTTAAGGTTGGGCTGGGGATGTGGCTCAAGCAGTAGTGCGCTCGCCTGGCATGCATGTGGCCTGGGTTAGATCCTCAGCATCACATACAAACAAAGATGTTGTGTCCGACGAAAACTAAAAAATAAATATTAAAAAATTCTCTCTCTCTCAAAAAAAAAAAAGAGTACCTGACTTGTAGTATGTACTCAATTAAAATTTAAAAAAAAAATTTTTTTTTAAAAGACCTTAAGGTTAATGGGGCCCTAATCCAATAAGTCTGGTGTCCTTATAGGAAAAGGAAGAGACACTTGAGTCCTCCTCCCTTCCTCATTACCTACAGAAGAAAGGCTATGTAAGGACACAAGTCTGCAAAAGTCAGGAAGAGAGGCCTTACCAGAAGCCAACCCCATCAAGCATGGACTTCAAATCTCCAAACATTGAAAAAGTAAAATTTCTCTTGTTTAAAACATCCCACCTGGGGCTGAGGTTGCAGCTCAGAGGTAGAGTGCTCACCTAGCTCCCGTGAGGCACTGGGTTCAATCCTCAGCACCACACATAAATAAAATAAAGGTATTGTATCCACTTACAACTAAAAAAAAAATTGAAAAAAAAATCCAACCTGTGGTATATTTTTATGGCAGCCTGAGCAGACTAATACAATA